CGGGTTGATCTGCGTCAAAATTTGGGTTTAAATTGAATCCTGAGTTTTTGGTTCTTTCAGGATTTTAGGAGAATCTGGAAACTGTTTGGGTCTGCATGGAAAGCAGACAGGTCAAGTTCAAAGGTCAAGTTCAGAACATATGAATTATAGAAATTATGTTCAGCTGATGTATAAAAGTGCTGAAGATTTCTGTTATAGATGGATAGATACCTCTCTACCTTACTCTTAGGGTTAGGACAATCTGTTGGAGAGAAAATAAATGGTGACTCATTTCCCCTTGACCTTTCACCTCTATGATAGCTGGAAGCTCCACTCCCAACATGTTTGACCAAACTTTAGCTCAGAAGGAGGAACTTTTTTTTTAAGGTTTTATTGGCTCTAGTGGTCTTTATTTGATAGACAGGATTGATTGATTGACAGGAAAGTGGGTAATGAGGGAGGGGGAAGACATGCAGCAAAGGGAATCGAATCGGCGACGGCCGCGTTGAGGACTGAGGCTCCATATGTGGACTGTGCTTAACCCCTGCCACCACAGCACACTCAGAAGGAGGAACTTCAGCAAGTTTTTGTGAGAAGTGCGTGACACATGACCTGCTGTTTCAGATCTGTTTCGCTCTGCAGCCGAGGCCGGACCTCACGACATCCTGAAACTCTACAACCCCAAAGGGAACATCATCAACATCTCCCCCGGCCTGGAGCCCAACAGCCCTGCCTCCTGCTACAGGCTGGAGGTGGTAGCTGCCGACTGCAACAGCGAGCCGCTAGGTAAGTGAGCACCGTGAGGCTCCGGCTGCTCTCGGCGCCACCTGGTGGTCATCTGTTTCCTTCTCACTGCAGGCGCTGAGCTTGCTGGTGCGCTCGGATTCAATCTGTCATCCATGGAGAAAAGGTAGACGGTCCAGCTGGAAACTTCCTGAGTGATCTGGGATCCTGGCCGGATGGCGGCTACAGGCGCTAATGTGCTGATCTGTCCCAGACTGCAGGGCCTGGAGAAGAAGGTCCTATTTGCAGCAGGAGAGACACCTGCCGTGGTGCTGGAGATGAAGAAACAGGTGGACTGGTTCCGGGAGAAGCTGGAGGTATTAGCTCATGCTGTCTCCTGACCTCTGACCCTGAGCGATGGTTTGATGTTGGACTGGTTGATCCATTCCCTCGATTCCAGAGTGTGGAGCATCTCAGCTGGCTGGGCTTCTACAAAGACCTCTCAGAGGGACCGCACCAGCCATCACCGTTCTACCACAAGAGGAGTCTGCACAAGACCAGGGAGGAGGTGGAGCGCGTCCGCGAGAAGGTCCTGCAGATGAGGTGAGTCTTCCTGGACAAGAGCTGCTTCCCTACGCAGATTCTGGCTCTAGGACTCTCTGCTGTCTCTCAGACGTCTCTCTGATATCCATCAGACGTCAGAGAGACATCAGAGAGACATCTGATGTCTTTCTGATGTCTCTGCGCTGTCCTGCTGCAGCTCCCTGGAGGTCTCAGAGGAACTGAGGCAGAACCTGAAGACCCCCACCTTCGATAACTGGTGAGTGTTGGATCAAAGCTGTAGTCCTGATGATGATGATGATGATGATGCTGTGATCAAGGACAATGGCGGTGCAGCTGTTTTTGCTGTTGAAGAGCAGATCCTTTGCCGCTCAGCATCACATTCATCTCAATATGAATAGAGCTGCAGATCAAAGGAACGGCTGCATATTCAGTGAGCCTGAAGAGGAAGAGGAGGAGGAAGGTCTTCAGAGCCAGGGCTCTGAAGGTTCAAGGAAAAGGAAGAACAGCCACTCCCCAGCATGATCACTACCTGATCAGTACATTAATCGCCTGAACAGAGCCTGTCTGACAACATGAAGCAGGCTGAGTGTTCAGAGACCAGGAGAACCTGCTGGGCTGACCTCTGATGATGGCTGAGAGCCTCCAGACTCGATGTCTTCCTGTCTGTCCCGCTCCTGTCTCCAGACTCGATGTCTTCCTGTCTGTCCCGCTCCTGTCTCCAGACTCGATGTCTTCCTGTCTGTCCCGCTCCTGTCTCCAGGCAGTGGGAGGACGCAGAGATCATGGTTCTCCTGCAGGTCATGTTCACAGATTTAGATTTCATCTCCTCCTTCAACATCGAGCCTGAAGCTCTGCAGCACTTCCTGTTCGAGGTCTACAGAAGATACAACAACATCCCGTTTCACAACTTCAAGCACTGCTTCTGCGTCACCCAGATGGTGAGACCCTGCGGTCTGTTTCCATGGCGACAGCGGTCTCCGGACCGGCGGGTTCACGGTGGTCTCTCTGTCCAGATGTACGGGCTGATCTGGCTGACCGACCTGAGGAATAAACTGGAGGACATCGACCTGCTCATCATGATGACCTCTGCAGTCTGCCACGACCTTGACCACACCGGATACAACAACGCCTACCAGGTGGACGCGTCTCTGTCCGGCAGCGGCTCGACTGACACCTTCAGCTGAATGCTTTCCTTTCGTTTGTAGATAAACGCGCGGACCGAACTGGCTCTGCGCTACAACGACATCTCTCCCCTGGAGAACCACCACTGTGCCGTGGCCTTCCAGATCCTGCAGAGGGTGAGACCGCCGTCCTCTGCTTCCCTTTGCTTCCAGCTGCATCTAAATCATCTTGGAGTCAGCTGGCCACCAGAGTCAGTAACCAGGTTCTTCCTTGTTTCACAGAGAGAGAGCAACATCTTCAGGAACCTGTCCTCGGATCAGTACAAACGGATAAGAGAGGGGATAATCAAGTGAGATCATCTCCTTCAGGAGCTCAGTGTGATTCTCATTACAGTTCCTGGTTCAGATTGTGTTCTAACTGCAGATGCATCCTGGCCACCGACATGACGAGACACAACGAGATTCTGAACAAGTTCAAGTCCGTCCTGCCTGCTTTCGACTTCACCAACAAGGAACACAAAGACCTGGTGAGAGCGGCCGAGCGACCGGCACGACCAAGAGGGAATAAACCTGGATGGTTTTGATATCCAAGCTTCACAGAGTCTGCTGGGAGATAAATGAGAAATGTTCAATCAATCAATCAATCAATCAATCAATCAATCAATCAATCAATCAATCAATCAATCAATCCAATTTTATTTGTATAGCACATTTCAGCAGCAAGGCATTTCAAAGTGCTTTACATCATTAAAAACAGAAACAGTCATGTAACATTGAATAAACAGTAAGAAAGAAAAAAAATAAAGGTTAATAAATAAATAAAAAATAAAGATAAAAACATTAAAACCCTTTAACGTTGTCATTCAGTGGAAAGTTTCTCTACTTTAATTCTGACTAGCAGCTCTATTTGTCATAGAAACATTTAATATGCAGAGAAACGAGCGAACATGAATGAGCCTTTACAAGCTGATGGGTTTCTAAGAAATCTTCAGAAACACACACGGCGTCAGACTCGGCTAAAACTACACCAAACGGTAACAAATTTCATTTCAGAAATAAAATCTGCAATCTGAGACT